GTTAGTTGCTGTGCATTGTTGCCGCTTGAAGTTTGCTGGAGTGCGAGGAGACTTTTGGAGACGAGCTAGTGTCTTAGGTTTCAGAACTTGCTGCAGCTAGTAGCTGTGTTCGTCAATTGCGAGAGTTGTACACGTCAGGTCGAGATATTTTATCTTGCAGGGAACCAAGTTTGGAAGCTTTGTCCTGGGTGTAGAAGCAACCTTGACTATACCTTTCTCCTGCAGCAGAATCAGGGATCAGCTTGCGCAGTTCACGCCCCGTCCAGGCATCTTGATGTGGGGACCTGGAGTGCCCTCCTCGTTAGCCGATGGCCAAGCAAAAGGTTCAGCAGCGTGTCCGTCCTGTCCTGACAACAGGTCCTAGACGCTAAGGCACGGAAGGTACGAGCAATCAGTGCTTGCATTTGCACTGTCTCTGGAGTCTGTTGCGTGGTTTGTGTTTTTGAAGCATGTCAGTTTGTGTTGGACCTTCGCAGATAGAACCACATCGTCAAGTGAACACTGCCGCACTTCAGGTGGTGTCCTTTGAAGTGAAAAGTCTTCGGGGAGAATTATAATGCATGGGCAGTTCCAAGAATGCTGCAAGGGCAGCTCAAGAGAGATCAAGCTGCTAAGGCAGTCGTGGTCAAAGATCGGCTGAAGGGTCAGCTCGTTGAGATTCGTTGCAAGGGCAACTCAAATAGTTTTGCTGCAAGGGCAGCTGAAGACGGCAAGGGCCAATATTCAAGGCACGCAATGAGTGTGCTTCATACATCGCTGCAAGGGCAGCCCTTTCTTTCAGGCCGTGACGACAGCCAAATCCGGCAAGGGCCGGCAAGAGGTGCAAGGGCACCGATCAGTCGTCTAGTAGAGACGAGAGGCTCTTTCGAGAGCTTGAAAACAGAAAGATTGCAAGCTGCATCGACTCAGCACTTAATTGCACATTTCAAGGGAAAGTCGTGCTGACATCTGAGTTTACTCTCCCAAACCTGAATTTCCGTCGGCTCACAAAAAAAAAAAGAGAGAGACAAAAAGGGTAGCGAAGGCTCTGAGAGGAAACAAAAGCCAAGGGGCAAAGAAAAGAGGCGTAAGCCCAGATGTTTCCGTGGCCCTTCTTTCCGGGCGGTGAGTCACAAGGCTCTGCCTCCAGGGGCCGCAGGAGGAACAGAAGCAGCAGCGACAGCCGTCGCTCAAGACGCAGAGACAGGCGCCGAAGAGCGTCTAGGTCGCGCAGCCCAAGGGGGCGTCGAGAGAGGTCTCCAGAGACCCAGCCGAGGACCCCAATTGTTGGGAGCCCTAGCATGCCGGCTCCGCAGCCAGGATTTCACTGGTGCCAAGTGCCGACTGCGGTCTTCGGCGTGGCGTCTGGCCAACAGACCCAGGCATCCCTTCCTGCTCAAAAGGGAGCTGAGGCAGCTTCTTCTTGGAAGGACTCCTCCCGGTGGCAAGAACAGTCCACCCCGTGGAAGAGCCAGCAGTCTTCATGGGGCAAAGGTTGGGGGCATTCTAAGAACTACGGCTCCAGCAGCTCGTGGCAGGGCTCTGGAGGCAATCGGCGTGAGAAGTGGGACAAGCCCAAAGGCTGGAACAAGTGGCCCAAGCCTGAGCAAAAGCCGGCTAAGGAGCAGTATGGGCGAGGGGCTGCCCCAAAGAGGAGGAGCCGGAGATTCTCCTCGACCCAGTGGCTGGGATTTTTGGAACCCGGCAGCAGGGGCCACCTGAGAGGCCCGACTCTGCATTCAATGTTGCGGAGGCGACGGAGGAGGAAGTTCAAGCGGCGGCCAATCGCAAGGCTGAGCGCGAAGAAGAAGGGTTCCACAGTCAGCTCTGGCAGGGGGCGATCGCTAAGGCCCTCGCAGACCCCTCGCGACCCAAGTGTGCCCGAGAACTGATGCGTGAGGGCATCTTGCGAAGCTGGTGGAACATGTCCTGGAAGGACGCCCGAGGCCTCATTGACGGGACCTTGGTGGACGAGTATCGCGATCGGTTGATGCTGTACATGGCAAAGTACAAGAATCCCACCGAGGTGCCGCAGCCGATTGTCGAGCGCTGTGCATGCTTGTTCGCGTGGTTCAAGCAAAACTCCAGGCAGCTGGACATTGAAGGGGACTTCGATGCGGTCATGTTCGCAGTGCCAGGGCAGAAAGTGCTGTGCTTTCGCACAAAGCTGACAGGGCCATCCTTCCTGGAGCCCGCAAACCACCGCTACACGATGACAATGTCCCACGGCTTGCCGTGGACAGCAGCCATGGGTGTGGGCGAGTATGGGGAGATAACCCCGGGAGACTTCACGGACGGCGACTTCCCGTCGTACGGATTCAGCGGCCGAGGGGTCTGCAACGACTCCGGCTTTGAAGGTATCAAAGCCTCAATCTCCAAGGTGGCTGCAAGAGCCAAAGGAAGGGACGTCATCTTCTCGATGGAAGGGCTCCTGCAGGAGAATACGCCCCAGGTGGAGGGGGGCATGCCGGCACTGAATGCTGCTTGCCGAGATGCAGGCAGCGCGCGGTCAGGGGACCACCTGCTTTTGAGTCCCACCTGTGCAGTTTTGAGGGCCGTATCCGTAGCCTGGCCAATCTGAGCCAAGAGCCGAAACACTGAGCCTCGATATAAGCTCGTCGGGAGCCATAAAAGAGTGTCCCGTTCTGACAGGGCGAGTGAACTTTCGCTTTGTCATCATGTTTGCAACAGAAATTTTGTCTTCCTCACATGTTTCTTTTCATGCGGGTATCGAGAGTTTTGGGTCAGTTTTGGTTCAAGCCCCAGATGGCTGGTCACCTAAGAGCATCGGAGGTGCCTTCTGACGGCGAGTCGGAAGGCCAAGAAGTTAACCAGCATCGTGTTGCTCAGGGCCTGATTTCTGCAGGACCACCGAATGTGCAGCTCCCCTGGGAACAAGGAATTTTCAGGGACATCTTCGCACCTAGACCAGTGGTGTCACTGGACTGGCCAGAGCCCAAGGTTCTTGTCAATGTGGATGAAGCCGAACTATCGTCTACACCAGGTCCCAGCGTTTTGCAAGACAAAGACAAGACGCCAATCACAGGTGTCTTCAGCTCCTCACCGGGAGCTAATGTTTTCAGCAAAGTGATCAAGTGCAAAAAGAAAGATGAGCCTTTTGAGGAGGCTGTTGCAGGCATGTGGTTGAAAAACACGCAGATGTGGAAACAGCTGTTCGAGGCCTCCCCGTCCACCACTTTTGCCAAAACATTACAGGAATTGGACGAAGAGGAGAAGATGTTGTCCCTTCGTGACATGTTTGGATCGAAATCACCACACACAATCCAGAAGCGTGCATCAACCTTGTTGAGATTGTTTCGTTGGCTTCAAAAACAGGCCGATGTGCAAGGGACCTCTGTGGAGGAACCCCTTCTCCCATCAGAGGAAGCAGTGTACAAGTTCTGCAGAGAGATATCCCACAGGAAGAAGGGCAAGCTGGCACCTCAGAGCGTGGTACAAGCGTTGAAGTTTGTGAAATTTGTGCTTTCCATTCCAAATGTGGAGAATTCCATCTCCCCCAGGGTCCAAGGCTTGGCCGACCGAGTGGCAGGCGAGCACGAGCCCACACATCAAGCCCGGGACCTAACAGTGCTTGAAGTTAGGTTTCTGGAAGAGTGTGTTTGGAACGCTGAGCTCCACATTGTCGATCGATTTGCAGCAGGGGTATTCCTGTTTCAGATTTTCAGCAGGAACCGTTGGTCGGACATCAGGCACGTGCGATCCTTGGAGTTCGATTTTCTGGAGATCGGCCCCGAAATCTGTGGTTTTCTGGAAGGCAGGGCCAGGGAGGTGAAACAGTCCAACAAGAAGAAGAAACTCTCGTTGTTCATGCCCCTGGTGGCTCCAGTTCGGGGGGTCCACCCGACGGTGGTTTGGGCCAAAGAATGGCAGAAAGTGGCTGCCGAAGCAGGGATCGTGCTCTCGAAGACCCCTGTAGGCCCTTTACTACCGGCCACCGCCCCAGACGGTGCCTGGCTGCAGAGGTCCATCGACTCCGCCGAGGCCTCCAACTGGCTGACGGGACTGCTAAGGAACCGCGACCCCTCAACAGCGAGGGTTACCACACATTCCTTGAAGCACACTGCTCTGGGCTGGTTGAGCAAATACGGCATTGTGGGCGAAACACAGACACTCTTGGCACATCATTCTACTGGAGCGTTGAGTACATTAGCTTACTCAAGAGACGCCCTTAGCGGCCCCCTCCGGCAGCTAGAGGAAATGCTAAAGCAGGTGCGGGAGGGCTCGTTTTGCCCGGACGCTACTCGAAGTGGATACTTTGCCCGTGCCCAAGGATCAGAGGCAGGTGCGTCTGTTGACCTCGGGTCCTGGTTGCCGATCAGCAAGGCAGGCAGCTTAGATGGGCTGCCCGCAAACTCCGAAAGCACGCATGAACCTTTGCCAGCTACAGCGGAAGGCTTTGAGGACGATTTCCTGGGGGTTGGACCGCTCTGCTCCTCGCAAGGGAAGGTTTTTGAGTCACCAAGTGCCATGCCTGTCTTGGAAGCATCCGCGCCGTCGGTAGCGGAAGGAGACGAATCCCCCTCGAAAGAAAGTGAGGAATTAGACAGGTTGGCTACCGTGACTTCTGGGCTTTGCGAGGCGTTGTTCGATAAGGACGACACACAAGGTGCAGATGATGACGAGGAGGCAGAGATCTCGCCCACCACATCAGCAGACGGGTCCTCCGAGGAAACCTCTGATGGAGCCTCGTCGGAAGAAAAAGAGGAACCAGCTTCGACCCTGAGCCTACCGGAGGGTTGGAGCGCGATCCAGAACAAGAAGTCTACCATGTTACATCTGTACAAAGTAGGTCAAACGACGCTGAAATGTGGGAAGTGGATAAGCGTCAATTTTGTAGAAATGGAGAAGCCCTCAGCGAAGTGGCTACAGTGCAGCCGTTGTTTTCAGGAGTAAAGAGAGGGGTGACGCTGTTGTTGGCCGGTTTGTGTGCTTGTGCAACACCATCCCTTTGTACCAACTCTCTCTCTTGCAAGTTGCAGTTTTGGCCCCACGCCCTAAACATGGCAAACGCAGCGGATAGTCAGCCTTTCTTCGAGCAACATGCTCGCAAGATCGGAATGGAGCAGCCACTCTTGGACAAATTCATAGCTGGAGGGGTCAAGACGGTGTCCATGGCAGCCTATGCCGCCACTCAACCGGGCCAACCTCTCACAGATAGGGAGGTCTCCACTCTATGTACGAGTCTGGGGCAGAACAACCCCACTCTTGCACAGATGACGGTTGTCAAGAGGCTCCTGTTCGAGTGCCAGACCATGAGCTTGGCAAACTTGAAGGCAACCGTGGAACAGCAGCCGGACTCAGTCCTACGTAAGCTGCCAGGAGCTGAGAGAGCCCAGCGCCTGGAATTGCAGGCTCAAAGGCTGGGCGGACTCTCGATTGAGCATGACTTGGAGCCCGCCTTTTCAGTATATGATGCCGTGTCGACACAGGTAGAGCAAGGGTCGCTGAAATACCTGCACCCGAGCAAGATTCCCACGCGTCGCCAGGAATTGGCGCAAGGCAAGCCAACCAAGGAACTTGTGCTGGATGCTTCGGGGGATGGCCTCTCGGTTCAAGACAAATCCTCTAAAGTAGAGGCCCAGTTGGGGTCAGACATGGCGACTTACAGGGCGTTGCAAAGACGGGGTCTGGCCTACGACCTCGTTGGCATTTTGAGTTTCAAGGTGCACGAGAAATGGCTTCAGAAGGCCTTTGCTACCTTGCAAACCCCACCGCCCCCAGGCTTCAACCGTCCGACGCTGCAGCAGGTCCTGCGAGCAGATCGGGCCTTGTGGATGGAGCTTGGCAGCAAACAGCCGACCCTGACAAGGGCAGCGGCGAACGCGCCGCTCGCAGACGCCCGGTGCTTAGATCAAGTCTTTCTGGAAGCCACCAACACGGTTGCAGTCAATTTTCACTTCATGCCGACACCTCGTGCGGAAGGGTTCCCAGATAGAGGAGGCAAAGGCGCTGGCAAGGGCCCCAAGCGCTGGGGTGATGGAAAAGGGTATGGACAATGGAAATATCAGAGGATCGACAAAGGAGACAAGGGCCAAGGAGGCAAATCAGGCCTCAAGGGGGCCCGCCTCCCCACAAAGGGCAAATTTGACAGTGGCAAGGGAGGCTTTCCGAACAAGTCCCTTGTCTTGCAAGGAGGCAAGGGGGAGACCCCCATGCCGGCCGCCTTGCGAGGCGGAGTGCCGAACGACGAGCAAGGAGAGCCTCTTTGTTTTGGCTTCAACCTAGGACAGTGCAAGGACGCCCCCTTGGGGGGCAGATGTGCACGTGGCAGACATGTGTGTTGTCACCCAGGTTGCTTCCGGAAGCATCCCTTTTCTGAGCACAAGCATTCAGGCCAGGTAGCCTGAAAGAACGCCCCGCTGCAAGGGACGTCGAATGACAGCGCTTCTGCGCTGGACCAGGCGTCCCGAGCTGCTTTGACCGCGCGTCGCACAGAAGCGTGCGCGGTAAGAGCAGAAACAGCCATGGGGGAGGGTGGAGACAGTTCGGCCCAATTCTGTGAACAGAACAATTTTCCCGCTTCTGAGGCGGACAGGCCCGAAGAGAGCTGCAAAGGACTCGTACCCTGCTGCTATTGCGAAAGGGCAAGAGAAGCAGCCCCCGTTCAAGCGGGTGGCTGAGCCAAGCCCACAATTTTCCAAGCCTCCAGCTGAGGCTTCTGCATTTTCACCTCAGGCGAGTCATCACGGTGCGCATAGGTCTGGACAAGCGCAATGTACTGCGCCCCAGACCATACAGGAGTGTTGGGTTTTGGAAATTTTCGCGGGGTCGGCCGGGATTACCTCGGCAGCTGCTTCAGCCGGCCTCAAGCGGTCAGTCGGAGTAGACAATGTCCGCATGCCGAGGCGCAAGGGCAAGATCATACAGCTGGACTTGCTCCTGCTGTCGCACCAAGGTCTTCTGTGGAAATGGCTGGGTTCTCCAGGACTGGTCGCCGTATGGCTGGCGCCGCCCTGCGGCACATCCAGCAGGGCCAGGGAAATCCCGTTTTCGGGGGAGGACGAGCCGCGTCCTTTGCGGTCAGTGGAGTGCCCGGAAGGGCTCCCAGGCCTTGGCCCAAGCGATGCAGAAAGGGTGGCAAAGGCTAACGAGCTTTACCGGCTCACGGCCCGAATCTGGGACTTCTGCTGCGAAAATGACATTGTGGTAATCATAGAGAACCCCTATCGCAGTTTCTTCTGGCATTGCAGCGCCATTGCACACATCCTCAGGAGTGAACAAGCGATCGTGGTCCAGTGCGACTTTTGCATGATGGGAGGTTCGAGATTGAAGCGGACGGCCCTGCTGTGCAACAGCGACCTCATCACAGGCCTGGCTGTCACGTGTGATGGATCCCACGAGCACCTGCCCTGGAAAGTGCAGGAGGGAGTTCTCGCAACAAAGCTTGAGACTGCGTATCCACACCAGTTTTGTAAGCACTTTGTTTCCCTGCTGCTGCAGCATCTGACACAGAAGGGCTGTCGGGATGGTCTGAATCTCTTGGAGGCAGATCCCGCAAACTCCTCAGGAGCCAGGGTGGTAACGACACAGGCGAAGACCAAAAGGGCTGCATCGTTTCAGGTTATGCCCGAATTTCGCAGACGAATCAGATGGACAGTGCCCGGCCAACTCCGTAGTACTCTCCAGACTACACAGTGGTTGGCACCGGACAGGATCCCGGGCTTCAAGGCGCCAGGAGCCCCGGCGCTGAGAGTGACGCCCCTACTGTCTTCTGCGACGGATGTGCTGGTGGAAGTCCCGTGGAACCCACAGGAATTCGTGGCGAAAGCCCGACTGGCCGGCCACCCCCGGCACCTGTGTCTCGGGGTGCCACCCGCCCTGTGGAAGGCAATTTTGGCGTGTTCTAAACAGCTTGCAACCAAGGTGATTGAGACTCGAGCAGCGCAGTCACGGAGATGGCTCCAGCGAGCCCAGGAGCTGCAGTTAGCTGAAGACGACTTCAAAGCCAGGCTGCCCGAGCACATCCGCAGCAGCCTCCGTAACAAGAGAATACTGCTCTTCAAAGAGATGCTAGAAGCGTCCCACTACGCCGACAAGGCAGTGGCAGACGACCTGGCACAGGGTTTTGATCTTGTGGGGCATTTGGACCTTCCGGCAGGCTGGTCCACCGACTTTCGTCCAGCATTCCTCTCCCTGAAGGACCTGTCCCAACTGACGCAGGAGACGAACCACCAGGTCATCAAGGAAGTTGAGGACTCATCTCAGTTCCTGGAAGAACTGTGGCAGAAAAGTCTCGATGAAGTATCAAAAGGCTGGTCGGAAGGACCTTTCCGAGAGCAGGACTTGCCACAGGGAGCTGTAGTCAGCAAACGTTTTGCAATCCAACAAGGGAACAAGGTCAGGCCGATTGACGACCTGTCCCAGAGCCACATCAACGAGGCATTCGGGAGCATGGGGAAGATCGAGTTGCATGACATCGAGACAATTGCAGCGTCGGCCATCTTGTTCCTGAGGCACGCAGGACAAGGTCTGCTGGGTAAAACCATTGACCTGAAATCAGCATATAGGCAACTACCACTGTCCGAAGAGGCACTCAACATGGCCTGCGTGGCTGTCAAGGACCCCAATTCGGGGGAGGTTCGCTTCTTTAGGCTTCTCTGCCTTCCATTCGGCGCTGTGGCGGCGGTCCATGCATTCATCAGGGTCAGCCTGGCTATTTGTCATATAGGAAACACGTTCTGGCACTTACCTTGGAGCTCTTTTTACGATGACTTCACACTGTTGTCAACACGACAGCTGGCCACTAGCGCAGAGGCCAGTGCATGTTTTCTGCTAGACTTGCTCGGCTTTGAGTTTGACAGAGACGGAGACAAGGCCCAGCCGTTCCAGGAGGTCTTCAGATCTTTGGGGGTCGAATTTGACCTTACAGAAAGCAGCAAGCAGATAATTAGGATCCAGAATACAGCAGAGCGGACCAAAAGTCTCATCGAAGACCTGGCAGCCTTTCAGGAGCAAGGAGCCTCAAGCCCTAAGACCTGGAATCGACTGAGGGGAAGGCTGCACTTCGTGGCGGGCCAACTCTCTGGGCGCTTGCCGAAGGGCTTCATGAGAAGAATCTCTGACATCATCAATGCCCCCGCATATGTCAGGAGACAAAACCAAGCCTCCCTTTGCGCAGCACTGCAGGGGCTACGACACTACATAGCCGAGGCGTCGCCGAGGATAGTGCGAGCCCAGACCTCAGAGACGGTGTACGCTTTTACGGACGCCTCGCAAGAAGGACTCCAAGGCCTCGATATGGGCCTGGGAGCGGTCCTGTTCAATCAGGAGGGGCACATCCTGTGCTGGTTTGGCATTGTGTTGCCGCATGACCTTGCTGCGAAACTTCTGCAAGGAAAGTCTAAAGTCATCAACGAGCTCGAGAGCATAGCTGTTCTCCTGCTATTCATTCTAGCCCGAGAGTTTCTGCGGGGGAAACATGTGATGTGCTACTTAGACAATGAGGCGGCGCGCATAACGCTCCTCAAGCTGACCAGCGATTCAGAGGCTTTGACCCTCTTGAGCAATGCTTGCGCATTGTTAGAACAGGAGCTCGAGATGATTCCGTTCTACGCTCGGGTACCGAGCAAATCCAATGTGGCGGACGCCCCGTCTCGCCTTGACTTTACAGGGCTGCCACACAATTGCAGGTTCCAAGACCAGGTGCTTCTTGCGGAAATGGCCAAGCTGGTGAACTCGCTCGTCGGGCGCGAGGCCTGAAACCCCATGACCAAGGAAGGGACTTGCATTCTCCCCGACCAAGAGAGGGAGCTTTCGTTTCTCACACACCTGCAGAGGACAGATCTCGGATGGAAGCAGACACAGCAAATCCCCTTCCTTGGAAAAGATGCCAGTGCGTAAGCTTCAGTCGTGTTAGCGTGAGGGTGCATGTCATTGCAGTCGGTGCATGTGAATAGCATTGTCGTGCATGGAGAACCAATGAATGAGCATAACATCGATGGATCGCGTACTTTCGGCTAGGCGATGTTTTCTTACATGTGAAACATTTTTGTTTGGAAAATAAGGTAATCGTGCTGTAAGTACAGACCTTTATTTTCCGGAGAAAAATTTTCGAATTCTACGAATGAGAAAGTTTTTCGGCTCAGACCAGGAGAGGTCACAGCCCTCTCAGCCACAACCCTCGTGGAGAGGGTCCCGGAAAATTTTTCTGCCCACCCACCCACTCCAATTGTGCCTTACGTTGGGCAGTTGAGATGAAACGTGATGCCGGGACAGCGGGTCTTGATGAAGAGACAAACAGAGAATCAAGGATCCAATGGCTGGCAGTGATGGTAACCAATGTGCCGGTTGTGGATGTTGTGCTTTGTAGAGTGGCGACCACAGGAACAGTTGACGACGTCAAGTTTGCGGTTGCTGACGATGTGTGGCATCGCTCTGGGCATGACTTACGTACTTCCAGTTTCCGCTTGGAAATGCAGGGTCGTCATGTGCCCTACAGCACGAACCTCAGCGATCTACCGGTGCACCTCGGAACATGTGTGCATTTCGTTGTTCAACTCAACCATTGACAGGCCGCGCACTTAGGCGGAACCGCTGAGTGCAGCAGAGAACTCTGCTTTCAGCGCTTTGTGTAGCGTTTCACGGGGGAGCTTTCGTTTCTCACACACCTGCAGAGGACAGATCTCGGATGGAAGCAGACACAGCAAATCCCCTTCCTTGGAAAAGATGCCAGTGCGTAAGCTTCAGTCGTGTTAGCGTGAGGGTGCATGTCATTGCAGTCGGTGCATGTGAATAGCATTGTCGTGCATGGAGAACCAATGAATGAGCATAACATCGATGGATCGCGTACTTTCGGCTAGGCGATGTTTTCTTACATGTGAAACATTTTTGTTTGGAAAATAAGGCCCTTCTGCAATGTCTGGACAGGCTTGGAGGGGGCCTAGGTCCGGTAGGTGCTTTTGGGAGGCAGGCACCTCCTCCAGGATTCTGGCCATTCGTGCCCACCATCCGACCTCAGAGTTTTTGGGGGCAGTGGAGGGTCTCTGCAACACTAAAGGTCCCCACTGGGCCTGCACACACCACCCTCTGCCAGTTCGCGGTGCTTCATGGCAGTGTTCCAGGCTTGCCGCCCATGTCGCCATTTGCCAGCCGGCGCACAGGCCCTGTCCATTATGGCGAAATGGAGGGTTGCACCTCTTGCCATTCTTGGTTCTTGAGGTCTGCTGTGAGCTTCGGGAACTGGGGAAGCTTCCAGGTTTTCCATTCGCTGGCACCGTCCCTGACTCGGAGGTGTAATGCTGCATGGGGTTTCCATGGGACTGCCCAGGTCACAGACAGATCCACCAGGGCTTCTAGGCTCCGACTCACAACCCCAAAGTCCAATTCCGCCCCATGGTTGCACGTAGCCTCTCCAGTGGCTACCATCCTCCCCCTCATCACCTGAATCAGTGCTGTGTCCTGAACTTCGGTCGGGTCCAGGTTCCAATCTCCCAGGATGATCCAGGGTTCCGGGAGGGTTCGTACGAAAGCCACCAAAGAGGATAGCACCTCTGCATTAGTGGGGCCATTGAGGCCTTCCGTGTCCCTCAGATAGAGGGGTTCGTGGCTCTTATCAGGTTTGTATGTCTCCAGGCAAATTGGCTCACAAAGCTTGCCCCAGGAGGCCTTTTGTGGCTGGTTGTCAGCTGAAGACAATCTTTTTTTGTTTGTCTCCAGGCGAATTGGCTCACAAAGCTTGCCCCAGGAGGCCTTTTGTGGCTGGTTTTCAGCTGAAGAACATCTTTTTTTGTTTGTCTCCAGGCGAATTGGCTCACAAAGCTTGCCCCGGCCAGGAGGCCTTTTGTGGCCGTCAGCTGAAGACAATCTTTTTTTGTTTGTCTCCAGGCGAATTGGCTCACAAAGCTTGCCCCAGGAGGCCTTTTGTGGCTGGTTTTCAGCTGAAGAAAATCTTTTTTTGTTTGTCTCCAGGCGAATTGGCTCACAAAGCTTGCCCCAGGAGGCTTTTTGTGGCTGACAACCAGCCGCAAAAGGCCTTCTGGGGCAAGCTTTGTGAGCCAATTCGCCTCAGCTGACAACCAGCCACAAAAGGCCTCCTGGGGCAAGCTTTGTGAGCCAATTCGCCTGGAGGGCCTGGAGACAAACAAAAAAGATTTTCTTCAGCTGACAACCAGCCACAAAAAGCCTCCTGGGGCAAGCTTTGTGAGCCAGTTCGCCTGGAGACAAACAAAGCAAAGGATGTTCTTCAGCTGGCAACCAGCCACAAAAGGCCTCCTGGGGCAAACTGTGTGAGCCAACTCGCCTGGAGATAAACAAAGCTGGCAACCAGCCACAAAAGGCCTCGTGGGGCAAGCTTTTTGCGCCAATTCGCCTGGAGACAAACAAAAATTTACTCGGTGACCGGGGTGGTTTCATTGAAGGGTTTAGGGTTAAAAACTTGGTTAGTCGGGTGGAAACACGGGTGAATTATTTGGGATTGGGTCTGGAGGTTGTACAAGACCGGTGCTGCCTCAGCGATTTTCCATCATGTTCCATCTATAAGGGTTTTTATTGAAGTCTTTCAGATCCATGCTTTACTGACAGAAAGCTTGGTTTCAGAGCTTCTAGCGTCAAGCTGGAAAAAAAAACAGGCGAGGCTTCTATTGCTGAACTGAAGCTTCAGGGTTCTACAGCTCTGTGGTCTACTCTACTGCTTAAAGAGTCAGGCTGCGTGTCAGGTGCGCCAGGGTGCTTTTCAGCTCAAAGAGGGATTTTTCCATGCACAAGATTGCCAGCGAACTCAAGTCCGAGCCTGTGCCGCAGCAGAGCAGCAGGGCTCTCCATGCACGGCTACTGCTCTTCGAACCATATTCACGATGCTCGTACCAAAAATGGCAAGCAGTCATGAGCATGTTACGCATGTTTGTCATCACTTTCCTGTTGAAAGCATTACCATCAGCATTGTCAGCCATCTTTGTTGTCGGTTGCCCTGCTTGGGATCGTGTTCCACAATGACCGGTTGAATTAACCCTAAACCCTAAACCCTAAACCCCAAGGGGTTGCGTTCAAGTGCATCTCGGGGCTCCTGGCCGTTCGCTCTCGCTTGCCACGTCTCGCCATGCCTGCGCCGACCATTCCGGCCGGCAAGGTCCAAGGCCAGGCACGTTTAGGGTTTAGGGTTTAGGGTCTAGGGTCTAGGGTTTAAGGTTTAGGGTTTAGGGACAAGGGACTCCATCTGTTTGAAGGTATGGGTTGTCGCACTCTCTTCCTCGTGCCTGATACTTAACTAAAATGACATTCCTTGCATTGTTTCTTGATTTGTCCATTCTGGCCTTACATAGCTTGTCGTAGTATGTTTGTTTTCCTTTGGTTGGGAAATTTCGACATGGAGAGAGAGAGAGAGAGAGAGAGAGAGAGAGAGAGAGAGAGAGAGAGAGTGGTACGTGGCAATGCTTATTTTCGCTGTCCTGCAAGAAGGCTTTTTTTAGTGCTGGAGAATTGGAGAGAGCGCCCAGGGGCGAAGGTCTGTGCTCCAAGGTTCCAGTTCGGGATCAGGCCCAAAGACATTTAAGTAGGAGAGTGACAGAGAATTTTAAACTTAGGCGACAAAACCATACCCTCAACCCTTGCGGTCCGATGCATAAATCCAGATCTTTGAAGCTCCAGCTGAAATTGACTCTTCTCAAACCCGCAAACGTTTATGGTTCGCTTCAATCCTGGAGTTCGCAAGCGCGAGACCCCAAAATCCCACATCCGAAGATGCCTCAGACAGGTGAGGAGCCGGATCATGAGGATGAATCTCGTTGGTTCAGATGTTTTGTTTTTTTCTTTGCCCTTTCCATAAGAATCTACAGGTCCCTTAGTTATAAAACATCGGATAGGCTTCCTTGGGAGATTGGAGGGGTTCAAGAATCTCTGATTTCGTATATCGAGCTGGGGATGTTGGATTTCAGGCTTGGGGTCCAAGCATTTGTACGTTCATACAGGGCTGACCAATTCCGCTCCTGGCGGTCCGGAGTCCACGCAGATGCAGGGCACTTCGCCAAGGTGCCTCGCTGATTCTCCATGTTCTGGGCAGTCTCGAAAGATCCCTAAAACCTTTGCCCTTTACCCCGCCGATGCCGGCAAAAACAAACCTTATAGATCCCTTTAAAGCAGCTAATGTTTTATAAAACATAAACAAACCTTATAGATCCCTTAAAGCAGCCCTGAAATGAGAGTCGAAAAACCCAAATCGAGCTTGCGAGGCTGGCCTTAGCCTTTCAACCCTGAGCAGTTTCTATCCCTTAGCCTTATAGTAACCCTTCTAATTAGTATCCCCTTATAATTCGTAACCCTTATACTTAGTATCCCCTTTTTAAAGCAAGGTCAGAAGCATCGAGGTTGAAATGCCCACCTCGGGAGTTGCTATTGAGAGGCAGCTGGAGACGATGCGCAGACAGTTCCTCGTTTGGGGCCTGGGGGTTCCCGTAAGGGGTCTATATAGACTCAGGGTTTAGGGCTAGGGTTTAGGGCTGGGTTTTTTGACACGCCTTTGCTGTGGATTGCGGGGGCTTGCTTGAGATTCGTAAGTCGTATAGACTACACCCTAAACCGGACCCTAAACCCTAAACCCTAAACCCTAAACCCTAAACCCTAAACCCTAAACCCCAAACCCTAACCCTAAGGGCTTTCAGTTTAGAGTCGTTCAGGTGCAGTAAGCAGGCTTGGGTTCAAGCTTCGGGGGCTGGTAGGTGGTGCTTTTCGACTCTGGTCTGACGTCATAGCATGTGCTTTGAGCCCAAGGATGATTACAAGGGGGAAAGAGCGACTTCGAGCACAGATACGAAATGTACTAGAATATGTAGGATCCTTGTCATTGTTGCCCGGTCTTTCTTCATAGGGGATTCTTAGATTCTTAGGTCTGTGATTTTCTCACCGCGCAGATCCCAATTACACAGTTCACCTTGTCTGCTTCTGTCGGGAGCTCCAGAACATAATCTGGCATGACCATATACAATTGCCGGGTCTCCGCAGGAATGCATGCGCGGCTAAGCGGCAGCTTTGGATTTCTGACCTCAGCCCAGGTTCGAATCGGATCTTGTGCAAGTGCTGGAGCGAGTGCAGGCGTGACGGGACATGATTTTGGTTTGGTCCCTGTTGGCATTGGACTTATCTGTTCCTCCCGTAGTTACTCAGAGAGAGCGAGAGAACGAGCAACAGGAATTATAGTGCATCGGGTATACTCAAGGGCAGAGCAGCACGGATTGTAGAAGCTGGAAGCTCTGAGACAGGGACGGGTAACCGGGAGGGATCATTCGGTCTGGGACGGAGACTCGACTTGGCCAGCCCATCCGGCTTTAAAGGGCCAGATGGGTTCACGGGCGTCGGAGGGCTACAAGTATGGTGCGGTAGGATGCTAGAGATCTGGCCTGCTGCGCTCGAGGAAGCCGAATGTCTTCAGCAAGCTGACACCGCGTATGAGTTGATCTCAACTTCAAAAATCACTGAATCGTCGCCTCGTCCTTGAGCTAGCTGTAAGTTCCAGAATCGAGCCGCGAGGCCTTGGAAGGACGGCTTGGCATGGAGCATTCGCCTCTGGCGGGCAAGAACCCTGCTGACAGCATTGATGTGCTCCGGCTTTCCAACTTGTAGTTTATCCTAGGTAGGATAAGGGGGACCCTTAAAGGGAACCCCTTCTTAACCCCTTATTCAGAGGGTCTATATCCCCAAGGGTCCCCCTGATCCTATCCCCTAGTTTAGGGTTTGGGTGATGATCTAAGGCCTTTTGGGCTCCGGGTGGGATGTGTTTTGGTTCCAGTCTTTGGCAAGGACTTCTTGGGTGGCACGCAATGGCAAAAGCGCACCAGAGCTGTGGCATGTTTTCTACCTTTATGCTGCGGACTCTGCGAGTCCTCCCTCGAACTAGGGCGGGAGTTCAATGGATCTTGGCAAATGAAACCAAACCCGCTTGAGGGTTTCTTAAAACTACATAGGGGTTACCTTCTTCAGGGGTCCATGCATAAGGGATCGTACAATTTTCCGACACTCCCAACTCAAAGGCGAGTCGAACATGAAGTCTTCTGCTTGGCTGGATTGCTCGATCCTGACTCCCTGGGGCCCTGGGGTTCCACATGGGTTGGCTCCCTATATTAGCTCGCCTCATGGTCGTACATTCTGAACAGAGCCCCCAAAAAGGGACCAGGATTTCGAAGAATCCCCCAATTCTGTAAAAGCAGCTTGTGGAAGAGCACCACACCACAGACTTGCGGCAAATACATACAAGCCCCAAGCCAAAGAATGGCCCAAAAGAATCCCTGCATACGAAAGGATGTCCGAAGAAGGCTTTGAAGCAAATTCCTCTGAACATCTTGATCTCACAATTCCACTTTCCATCACTGCCAGCAGCTTAAATCCTAAACTAAACTTAACTGCCAACTCCAGTAACTGTGTTTCTAGTCAGGTTGAAGCTTAATAAATTAAGTTACTCCTCCGAGCCGACTAAGGTCGAGCCGACGAAGGAGAACATCCTGATGGCCTTATCTGATTATCTCCTGAACCCTATAAGCCGTACTAGCTACTAGGGTTTAGCGCCTTTGGAGTGGATGGTTATTTCTAGGATTTGGGGTTCACCGCCCCAAACATTTTCGGCTCAAGAAAGACTCTCTGAGATTGGGGCTTAGGTTTAGGTTTAGGGTTTCCGAGTCTTGAGTTCCAACACAAGAAGACTTGGGCCTTTGAAGCCTCCGTTTAGGGTTTAGGGTTTAGGGTTTAGGGTTTAGGGCTGTGGAATTTGGGCTTCAAAGCTGAGGTTGCATGGGATCAGGGATTGCGGTTGGACTGGGCCGCCTGTATTCAGGGGGGCAATGCTACAGCTCTACAGCTTCCTTTTGGGCTCTGAGGATGTTTTGCCAAGTCAGGGGCATAGGGTTGGCAAAGACATCAGACATCGGCGTCCGTTTTTGGCATCTGCAGTTTCCGCATCTCGTGCAAATTCCTGTATGGCCGCACTAGTCCCAGAAAATTGAGGAACTACGAATAACAACGATCCCAATGCCTTGAGCTTCTGCCATTGAGCCGACTTCAACTTCCAGCCCCCTGTTCAAGATCCTCGTTCCTAAATTTGCAACCCTTGAACCGCGATTCTAATTCAAGTTGCCTGTCTCTTCACCACACCAAGCCCGACAAATAAGCGCGAGGAGCCCGTGCTTGACTCTCAATTGCGAGTCGCGGAGCCGGCAGGCGAGGAGGAACAGGAGCCTTGCCTATCGAGCATCAGAATTTAACAAAACAATGGCGGTCGCGAATATCAACAGACATCAGAAAGTACCTTGCTTCTGGGGCTTGTCGTGCACTGTGCTCAACTCGCCTTAAATACCCTTGCATGTCAAGTGGTCTTCCGGGGTGCGAGTTGACATGCCTTCACAGAATTTGCGCAGATCCCGAGGGTGCAACTCAGACCACTACTTAGATCATTGTTCTTTCACCGAAATCATGCAGCAATGACATTCGCTGACGCAGCTTCGTGCTCTTGATGAGCGAGACACGTTAGGATGACATGGCAGAGACGAGGGAGAGACAGAGAGAGAGAGATTGATTGATTGATAGATTGATTGATTGATTCACACAGGGCTCGGACATGTTTCTTTCATTAAAATGCAAACACATTGTCCCATTGCCTTGTTGCATACATCGGATGAGCTATCGCTTATCACCGAGTGCTTCACCGGTGGTGCTGTCGGAGTGGCCGTGACCGAATGTAGTGCATGTGTGAAATCACATGAACGAAGGTGGAGTCAAACTGAACAGCTGAGGAACAGTCGACAGAGGTATGCTTCGAGGAAAGTGTCTGGAGTATCCCTGCCTTGGCTGGCATAGCTGGTGTCGACGTCGGTTTCTTCGACCGATGGTTCGGTGCAGTCTTGCTTTTGCTCAACTTCGGCATGCAAGCTGCCTTTTCTTGGGTCCTTTTGACTGATGCTTTCATTGGTGAGCCGTTTGAAACACGCGTCGAGAGCGCGAAGATCTGGAGGACGAGCGTTGCCCACGATTACAAGTACTTGGACTTGGCAGACACCAGTTTGGTATCCCGAGTTTGCACAGGCGATGGTGCTTTGATCCTGTCCACTACGCAGGCAACATTGATACATCAGATAAATAGCTTCCTCGGCCTCCAAAAGGGACAGTTTGAGCACTCCGTCTTTCAGCCAGGCATACTACTAAGCATGATTTGTATTATCCTATGGACGCTCTGCGTGTACAAGGACCGCTGTGCAAAATTATAACGGGTTTTGTTCATCGCTTCGCAGAGTCCGAAGTCTCATAGAGCACTGCGACCGAAAATTCGGCCATCTCAGTCGTCGGTTTTCGTGGCGGCGACTGTGAGGGCAAGACTAGCAACCCCACACCGTAAGTCTCTCACTATTGACGGATGTAGGGCGCAGTTCCAATTCCTAAGCCGGAAGCCCCGGGAAGCCGAACTTGCCCTATAAGTAGCCCTAAATTTGCAGCCGCTTGTCAGACCTTCGTTCAGCAGACGAAACCATGGGCCTCTTCAGGAGTTCCGACGGATCTGGTTGCAGTTAGAGGCCGCCTGGGTGATTCCGAAGCAGCGCAGAACCGTTTACCGAGACAATGCCTTCGTCTACATGTCCTGGGGACGATTCTGTGCTCTCCTGGCTACGTATATTGCGCGGACGGTCATCGCTACTGTTTTGCTGGCAGCTGGAATACTGTGGCTGGCCCGGACCACATCAATTGAAGAGCTGATGTTGAATGCCGTGGCTTTGAATGCCATCCTGGACGTAGATGAGTTTTTGTTTGCAGGCATGACACCCATCAATATCCAACATTCTATTCAGAGCTTGAAACCCATAAAGGTAACTGGGCTTGGCCTTGGAATGGTTGGTAAGTTTGAGTATAGAGTATATTCTCAATATTTTTTTACACTGCCTGCAAGAACAGCCCAGGTAAAGTACAGCCGCCTGCGCAGTGAGTGTGAATCTCTGGTGCACTTCGTGACTTTGGTGGTTCTCGTGGTCTGTTCTTACTATCTCCTACTGGGGCCACTGGGCGACACCATGCTCGCAGTCAAGAACGAGCTTTGCGGAGGAGATCAGACCTTTGTCGTTTCCTATAACACCGATACACAGCAAACCTTTGGGCTGAGAACAGCAGAAACACGTGACTATCAAAACCTTTCGGCGAGTGAGATCGCAGTGCAGAGCCACAAGGCCACGTCGCGTGGGTTGGCCACACCGAGTTTAGAGACGCAATATCTTACATTTTCTGCCAACAAGGACTTGTTTCAGGCGGACAGAACAAGGACCATCGCTGAGGAGGCAGCTCTCACGCCCTTCTGTATAGAGAGCCTCCAAGATCCGACGAATCCGCGCTACAACGATCCCTCCATGCAAGCCATGTCCATCAACCGTATCGCGATTGCTGCACTCAGTGCCGGAAGGCAAGGTGTCATCCGCTGTGAGGATCTCGGTGACCTGCGCCTCGGATCCGAGCAATCCAAGAGAAGGTATATATTGGGGGTTTCAGAAAACTAAGTACCTTTACTTGGGGGGGTCCTTCTAATCAGGGTCCTCTTGTTTAGGGTTCTACATCAGGGTCCCCTCCTTTCTGAAACCAACTCCCATACGTCTTTGCGCAAGATGAACCCCCCAAAACTGGGGGCAGTTGCGTTTCAGCTTGAGGGGCTGCGGGGGCCACAGGGGGTTTCCAAACCAAACATTTGCCTTCACGGAGCCGTTGGAGTCTTGTCACTTGTTGTTTCTTGATTCCTTCTTCGCCGAAACAGCTTCGCGAAGCTTGGGTCAGTTGGGTCGATCCGGCTAGGTCTAGACTCCTGTTTTGTCGGTAGTCCCACGCATGCACCGAGGCAAACCCTTCAACCCGCCACGATTGTTGCTGGGGGTCTTGTTGGTCCGGTCCGGACCATGAGCCATGAGCCGTGCTGCAGATGAAACTGAGGTGTGACACTTTTGATGCACGCCTTGTGAGACTGACCTGCGGCGACACCTGTGGATGTTTAAACCCGTCGCTCGGGCCGGGACGTACTTGCTTGAGAGTTCGCAGGCGAGCTCACGGTTGAGTATTGAAGGAGTGTTCTGTTGCAGGATTCAGTGGTAGAAGCAAGGGGTACGAGAAGCTCAGCTTCGGTTGGTTTTCCCGGTGTGTGCGAACTCTGCCAACTCCCCGTCCGAAACCCAAGAGCTCACAAGAAGGCACTTAGCCGCGATTCTGCTCAGGTATAGTTCCGCTTGGTTCAAGGTGGAAGAACAAGGCTGTGCCACCGCCTGTCTCAGAGTCGCTTCGTCCAGGAAAGCACGAGGGCCTCTGAGGCCAAGTTAGGGCGTGCTTGAGGCTTACGGGGATATTCGGTACTCAAGCCGCATTCTTCTTCCACGACGAAGGTCAACTTGGTTTTTGTGCATACACACACACGCGCGCGTGACTTGTTTATTGTTTATAACTGTTTGTTTACCCATATTTACATGTTTCAGAATTTCTTTCTGCATGTGTTCACAGACGGTCGCTCGATAATTCCCCACAGCTACAACATGTCATTAGTTAATGCATGAGACAGGCGTAGTTGTTTATGCAATCTTATGCATATGTGTGCATATTCTGTTGAATGTGGTTGTCTAGACAGTGAAGCCAAGGTTGCAGATATGAGGATGCAGAACTCTACCTGCCAGGACATGCCTCCAGACGACAACTGGAGAAAGTTTTGGACGCTTTACCCTGGCATTCTTTCGTCGTTCTATGGTCGTGACATCACGGGAACGACTTTTTACTCGGAAATCACTCAGACGATGCAAGCGATGATTTCTGGTGGTTGCCCGGTTCTTGCTCAGTCACCATTCGAGTTGCTCACACAAGCAAATTGGTGCCAGGGCATGCCATCTTTATTCCGTCCACTGGCGATCGTGTGCCCACAAACTTGTGGCTGCAGTCTTCCCTCCGGAGACGAAGGGATCCCGAGCTATTGTCCCCCCAGCTGTGCAAGCGCTGGCAACAGCTCGTTTTCATAAAGATGCACGTGCTGTTCCGCGGATGTGTTTCACGCAGGCACAAGCCGTTTCACTGACATGATCACGACCAATAAACATGCCGTGCGGCACCTTGTTCGTGCAAGGGTGTGATGAGATGAGATACTACAAGGTGAAGTTATACATCGTACGGAGCTGGATAGAGGTAGATGGAAAGACAAGCTGCATGTCGCACCTCAGTTCTGTACGTAGTAGCTGCTGTTGCCGGCTGTACAGGGATTCTGATGTCCATAGCTCTTCAACTAGCTTTTTGTTGTGGTCCTGTCCACGGCTTGAGCTTAAAGTTCGAAAGTTCATACTCCAAGCCACTGGGATTGCTACTGTGAATGCCAGAGCCCAGTTTTTTTGCTTTCGGAAATCCCGGTGACGCCATGACAGCAACGTGCTCTCCTTGTGGCAACTAGGACCAGGAGCCGGGGCCCACGATCCTCGAGGTGGAGTTGCGCCCTCCTTGCTGTTTAGGGTTTAGGGTTTAGGGTTTAGGTTTAGGGTTTAGGGTTTGGGGTTAGGGTTTAGGGTTTAGGGTTTAGGGCTGTCCCTACAAGATAAGCTTCTCTCCGAGATCTGGCGTCATTGGCAATGCTCATCTGAGCTCTTCACTATTGGCAATCAATATTTCGTCGCCGACTGCTACTGATAAGTTTCGTTACCACAGCATTTACGAAGAGTTACCGCCTGACAACTGGCAGCTGAACATCCGTAAGCAGTGCAGTTTCCTGGTCATGAATCGTGAGAACTTTTTGAAGAAAACATCGACAACAGAGCAGCAGTCACATTAACATGGGTCAGCTGCAGCAACCGGTGGTGTGTGCTCGGTGGCATTGGTGGTAGCATGTGGTGGCGATCGTAGTAGAAGGATTGACAAGAATTGTGGTTGATGCTGCAGGAGTTAGGAGGTAGATCGGTGAATAGCCCAGCTGACAGCCAGCCACAAAAGGCCTGGGGCAAGCTTTGTGAGCCTATTCGCCTGGAGACAAACAAAAAAGATTTTTCTTCAGAGAGAAGAGAGAAGAGAGAAGAGAGAAGAGAGAAGAGAGAAGAGAGAAGAGAGAAGAGAGAAGAGAGAAGAGAGAGGAGAGAGGAGAGAGGAGAGAGGAGAGAGGAGAGAGGAGAGAGGAGAGAGGAGAGAGGAGAGAGGAGAGAGGAGAGAGGACAGAAGAGAGAAGGGAGAAGAGAGATAGGAGATAAGAGAGAAGAGAAGAGAGAAGAGAGAAGAGAAGAGAGAAGAGAAGAGAAGAGAAGAAAGAGAAGAGAAGAAGAGGAGGAAGAAAAGAGAAGAGGAGAGAAAACAAGAGAAGAGCGGAAAAGAGAAGAGAAACGAGAAAAAGGAAGGCAGGCTTTGGGAGCCAACTTGTCTCCAGGCGAATTGGCTCACAAAGCTTGCCCCCAGACCTTTTGTGGCTGGTTGCCAGCTGAAGAAAATCTTTTTTTGTTTGTCTCCAGGCGAATTGGCTCACAAAGCTTGCCCCAGGAGGCCTTTTGTGGCTGATTGTCAGCTGGAAAAAAATTTTTGTTTGTCTCCAGGCGAAGTTCACAAAGCTTGCCCCAGGAGGCCTTTTGTGGCTGGTTGTCAGCTGAAGAAGTTTTTTCGTTTGTTTCCAGGCGAGTTGGCTCACAAAGCTTGCCCCAGAAAACCTTTTGTGGCTGGTTGTCAGCTGAAGAAAATCTTTTTCTGTTTGTCTCCAAGCGAACTGGATCACAAAGCTTGCCCCAGGAGGCCTTTTGTGCAGCACCCTTATTGGGCAAATCCGTGTCATGACATGTCCAAAACCCACTCTTCTCATTTGGTGATTCCGTGTCATCACTCATTTCTTAAGCCCTCCCCTCGTTTGACGATGCTGTGTCATCTTCCATTTGGTGTCTGTCAGTCCACTAGATGTGGTTCTCAACGTAATGCGCAGAGACACCTAAGTACAGCTTTTATTGGGATGATTGCACTGGGCTTAAGATGCGCATTTGGATTGTGCCTGAATGTTGGTACAGCTTGGGCAACTGACGTCAGGAACTTGCAAAGGATCGTCTGTTTGAGAAGTAAGTTTGCAATTTGATACTTGCCGGCTCAAGTGCATTGCATCTTTACTTGTCCCCGTAGCGGTGGTGGTGCTGCAGTGGTTGAAGGATGGTTGACAGACAGTGCGTTGGCTAAGCACGGCGCGAGCAGGTAATGCAGGTTTGCTTGTGGGACATACCGTGTTCAATGATCCAACCATCAATTCACGAATTGGCTTTGTGCTACGCCCTACTTCGCGAGAGCCATGGTTGACAAGATCCAGGCGATCATTGAAAAGGAAACGTGGCTTACATCCAAGCCTGCTTGGCTAGAGTGTTCACGTGTGCCATGCGCTTGACTTCGGAACTGGCCGGCGGCAAGGCAGCTTCGACAAGTCCGACCTTGGGAATTGACTCAAGCATGATGCAGGTCGAAGCGGTGGAGCCGGTGGTGGCAACAGAGCAATGTGTGGGACTAAGTTGTGGAGTTTGTTCAGAATGGTGCCCCAAGACTCACCGCGACCACTTCAACTGCAGGCCTTGGGAAAGGCACCCCTGAACCATCCTGAACCTGACCAGGCCAAGGTTGGTTCATGGAGGGCACAAACGTCATTGTGCTTGATGTTCGCTACTCCAAGCCTACCCCTATTTCATTTTGCTTGTGCCAGCAGGTTGTTGCAGATACAGCGTGGCCGGGGTGCCTTTGCCAGTTCCAATACATGTCTGATGTTGCAGCATGACATCTGCAATTGCTTCTCAGGCGACCAGGGTACGACATTGAGCGTGAGTACGACTGCGCATGGCCAGAGGTAATCGGATAGGACGTCCGGCTGTGGAGGCGTTAGCTCATGCCATGGCAGGATATGAGATGCTCTTCTAAAGCCCTGGGGCCTCCAGCACCTTCACTGCATTAGCGAACCTGCGTTCAAGAGGGTTTTAGTTTGGGATTCTCTCCGCGTTTTCTTCAAGCGGGCATCAAAAGAGAGTACCAATCCTAAATTGCAACAGAAGTGCCCAGCGCGGGGTAATGACATGCTACAACCTCCGAAGGGAGTGGCGCGCCAGGATACGGCTCTGCAAGAAAGTGCAGGGGATTTGCCAAGCACGCTCACTGACATGTGCCACTGTGCTGAATGTCTGTGTGTGTCTTGTGCAATCTTGACTCTATACCAAGATACACAATACCATACACAATACAGTAAATCCACAAAACATACAATATTACCGAAAGTAAGCTTTGAGTCTTCATTCAGAACTAGCCACCATGACCAAAATGGGCAAACCCGGGACAGAGAAGAGTGCCGTATTTTGGACATTGCAACACGCCGGAAGAAGAGAACATTCGACACATCCAGCTGTCCTCATGTGCAAGCATGCTACAGGAGGCATCTCACGTCACGCCGGAGTTGGCCACGGGCCAGCGAGCAGTTTTTTGTATTTTCTGTAGGCAAAACCGGCATGAGCTCTTCGATCCTGACGAAGAAATCTTGCTGAGTCCATTCTGTTTTCTGGGGAGCTGTGGTCAGATTTCAGTTTTCATCAGTCGGACACGAGAAGAAATTTGTGGGCTTCAGAAACAAAAGCCTGCAAAGTGTTGTTTTTTTGTGTTGCATTGCTGCTTGCATCTCGCATGAGGCTGTCCTGGCATCAGTCCGAGGAGGCTTTGAGAAGGCGCATTTGCAGTTTTCTTTTGATTCGATTTTGACAGATCTCCAGCCTACTGGCTTTACTGAGCTTCGGAGGTATGCTGATATTCGGAAGGCTGGAATGCCTCCATCCCCGAAGAAGCTTCAACCATTTCGAAGCAATCGCAAGATCCCAAGAGCTGCAAGGACGCGCTGAAGGACGAGCTTTTCTTCTCCTCCGCGGTGCGGCCCAGGTTGCGCTTCTGCAGATGCCTCCGACTTGCTTGCGCTTCTGCAGATGCCTCGTGGCAGGTGGGCCAAGATGACAGACCCGGCCAAGCAATCTGCCTCCAGACCCGGAGAGGCTGGGGTCAAATCCATGGAGAAAGCGTGATCACGCAGTGGCTTTTGACGGCGGCACGGACTCATCATGTCAAAGTCGCGCTAACGATCCATGGCCTGATTCCTGAAGGTTTGCGTGGTGATCGTATCTCAGAAGCACTTCTGCCAATGTCTACTCTGGGGAACACTAGCGGCGTAACAACTCAAGGCGGGGTGGGGGCTGTCTGGGGCAGTGCTTCTGGTGGTCGGGCTTGGGGCGCCGTGATGGCAACCTCGACTAGGTCCGCTGACTTCTCTTCCGATCCTCCACGTGTGCCGGCCCAAGACATGTTAGGTTGAGCCGTGGGGGGCGTGAAGAAACCTTTGTGTGTGTGTGTGTGTGTGTGCGCTTCGACTCCCAAACACAGGAATGGTCGTTAAGTGTCCAGGTAGCGTCATGTAGCACTCTTCTTGCCTTGCCCAATAGCCGGAATGATTTTTGCCATCCTTGCTTTGCTCACCTGCCAATGCAGCAAGGCTGGAGCCACTACTGCATAAAGAACAGACGACATCAGACGACGACGGTTGCGACTGTCATGAGCGAGCGTCGTCGAGCGCCGTAGCCGCTAGTGAAGCGTTCTGGAAGTCCACGAATCTTCCAGATTGCTTAGGCCTGTGACCGGCAATGCCTGAATCGACATTCTCTTTGGTTCCCTCGCGTGGAGCTCAGCGCATGGTGCATGGAAGTGCATGGAAGTGCGTGGTGGTGCATGGCCAACTTGAGTGAGGTCGCTTGCATTGCGAACAACGGTTTTTAAAGTCAATGTGCAGTAGGCTTTGAGTGAGAATTCGCGACTTCGATTCAAAGCCTTACATGAGTGTGTGAGCATCAGACTGCTCGGGCTACTACCGCATACCGGGAGTTCTTGTTAGGGTGACAGGCTAGACTCTTGAAGAGAGCTGTGCTTTTGGCATGTGCAGCGTGTGCCCTGCTTTTGTTGGGGACTGGTGGGGTGGAGGTTGGGGTGTGGGGACAGCCTGCCGTAA